CCCCAAAACCCCAAAACCCCAAAACCCCAAAACCCCAAACTATATGGATATAATTGATAATAGTTTTAAATATTACTTTAACATGGACGATATTAGAAGATTTAATGAAAAACAGCAGATCAAAAAGGAGACAATGAACGATTCCCCAGAAAGACAGGCTGAAACATACCGTATGATCCAAGCAAGGGAAGATTTTAGCTCAAATCCACTCCAGGCTACATTCAACTTCCTTTTTCCATACTTTAGGCTGAATTCGTTCACAGTTATTTACTTTATCATCTGAGTTCTCGCCTATGGAGTCCAGTATTTTGTGTATGCTAACCACACATGGACATGAACTTTGTATAAATGAGGAGCTAATTACTTACCGTCGATTCAAAGATTGCATCAGTTCTACCGGTTAATTGCTCCAACTGTTTTGCATCTCAACATCTGGCACATCCTCATGAATTTGTTTGCTCTACTTATGTTGGGCAACAGCAGCGAGCACTTTTTGGGAAGCTTCAAGTTTTTCTTATTGCTGATCCTCTCCGGCATTACGGGAAACCTCTTCTCAGCCTCATTCTCCGATCCATGAGGACTTGCAGTTGGAGCATCTACCTGCATTATGGGAGTTTTAGCAATGCATTTGATTTGGTTTTTTACTGTTTGGAGGCATCTAGGACCATTCAAGTATATCTACGCAGTTTACCTCGCAATAATGACTGGTACTCTGCTCTTCGGTGGATTTTCATACAAAGCCAGCAACGTTGACTCATGGGGGCACATCGGTGGCTTCATTGCCGGTTTGTGCTTCACTCTTGCTTTATATGAAGGTGCTAGACAGCATGAAATACTAAGAAAATTCAGAGTTCTAGCCTCTGTAGTTATTATCCTACTCGTATGAGCTTCTACAGGTTGGATCTTGATCAGAGAAACGAATAGATGCCATGCCAGAGTTTGATAAATTCTTTTCCCTCTCTGATTCAGTATTTAAGTTAAATTCAGAAATACTTAATTTCAATTGAATACGCTCTAATGGGGTTTTGGGGTTTTGGGGTTTTGGGGTTTTGGGGTTTTGGGG